TCTTACCCACGAAAGCTTATGCTCCCAGTACTTCTGTTAGTCTTAAAGGTGCCACAGGACCCTCTGTTGCTTTTTGCCTTAATGTACGGCATAGTCTCAGCCACCAGCCCTGAACGCTCTGTAATCTGAAATAGTGTATATTCTCCACTAGCATGACACAAAGGACTACAATAAGAGCTAAGGTTTAGCCGCAGCTCTGAATCTGTTTACTTTTGTAAGGTTGATTAATCTCTCTTTGTACTTTAGTGTTATTTTTACGGTCTTTGTATATACTGACCTCAATTTTGAGGGCCAGCCAGGAGTCAAGAGGAGGCAGGAGAGCCAAAGGTAGGTTTGTGTTATGCTCCAGTAATCTATAGCTGCTGGAACAGCTCCTTGGGGGTTACTGCAAGTGCCTCTAAATTAGAGCAGGCCTGAGACTACTTTAACTTATGCTGGTAGTAAAACTGGCCCTGGGCTGGGAGCTGAACAGGCTCCTTGCTGTAATTTAAGCAGCACATGGGACACACAGCAAGCTTTGGCCACATTCTTCTCTCCGGTGTTAGAGACTATGGCATAGAGCCAGCTACCCAGATCTATGCCATCATAGGATTCTGAGCTGCCTGCTTAGGACACATTAAGGCTATGATTTGCTCCCAGAGTTCCACAAAGCAGACCTTATCAGGGGCAAGGATCTGACCCACTACAACTATACTTTATCACATATTTAATTAGTTGGTTAATCAGGTATAGAGAGATCACTTACTGAAATGCACTAAGATAAAGTCACTATTTATGAAGCACTTTACACTTTAAACTGCTTTTCTAATTAATACTCCTTTTTGAAACAAATGTTGCAATTTTAAATATGGAAAAAAAGCTTGCCAGGGAGGCAAATAATCATTTAAACCAAACATTTACATACTTTAAGCACATGGTTTTGAGGAATGCAAAGCCTTAAAAAAAAAAATCAACCTTTAAATTTTACACTGAGTAATGATGCACAAATTACAAAACTCCAATTATTTTTTTCTTATTGCCTCGCCATGCAGTAACTAAGATGGAAACATCACCTCTAAGACACTCCACAACAGTGGCTCTCAAACTTTTTTTTACTGGTGACCCCTTTCACATAGCAAACCTCTGAGTGCGACCCCCCCTTATAAATTAAAAACAGTTTTTATATATTTAACACCATCAGAAATGCTGGAGGTAAAGCAGGGTTTGGAGTGGAGGTTGACAGTTCGCGACGCCCCATGTAATAACCTTGCGACCCCCAGTTTGAGAACCCCTGCTCTACAAGAACACAAAGCTAAAGAGTTCTCAAACATGCCAAGCCCTGTGTTCTCTTGGTAAAACAGCCTAATACCGTAGTATAAATTAGGGACTGAACCTGCAACCCCTTAAGCATGCAGAACTCCCACTTGAGTGGATGGAAGATTTGTGCACGTGTTATCTGCATGATCAGGTATTTAAAGAGACAGCTGCTTCCCTTCCCTAATCTTAAATTCCCTATCATGTAGACAGTGAAAATGTACAGCAATAACCCAAAACATTTTAGAATAAGTTGTGATCTATCATTTGATACATTTCTGCAAGTCCCATTTCCAATAACACTTAACTATTTTCTTCCCATTTCTGTAATACTTCTTTTAAGGATAAAAAATTAAAATCTATTGTCATGCTTGAATTGTCTTTTCCTCAGTGGATAAATAAATTTTACCTATGGTTCTGATGGAACTGAAATTAAGGCTCTTTTTATTTATTCCCATATTAGTACCATAGATCATGTTTGCATTGCTCTGGGAACAATGAGCTGCTGCTCCTTCTCATCTTTAACATGAATGGAATTTAGGGCACATAGCAAGGTGAGAACAGACACCTTAGGGTTCCTGCAAAACAGCTGTTTAAAAGACATTTACATCTAAGTAACATTTTTTCATAAAAAACAAACATACTATGCCTATTGGAAGATGTTTTATGGCTTGCAGAGGCTTCTATATTCTATATATTTTTAGGAATTGTTCTGTATCATGAAGAATTTATACCAGCATTCTTTTTCTTTTTCCTTGTTTATATACCATCCTCTCTCATTAATAAAAAGCTTCTTAAGTATGGCTGTGTCTAAGAATTATTTTTATAGTACAGACAATTATTAGAATTCTGTAATGGGAAGTTTAATTTTGTTTGTACTGGGAATGTGAAGCATTTTCTGGTTTTGGAAAGCACCAGAACCATTTAGGCCTGTGAGTTGCTTTTGTCAAATTCAAAGTAGTTTGGGAGGTGAAAGCCCATTATCACAAGGCAGTCCTTATTAAACAGCAGTGCCGTGACATTACCCTGACTTTGAGTTCAGAAACAGGTGTGCTATCTGCACCACAAGTATTTAACAGACAATATTTCCCCAACTTTTATTTTTTGAATTGAAGGAAACTGTGTATTAAATAATTTAATTCTAGATGTCCATTACTAAATTCCCCCCAACATACACACACACATTTTACAAAAGTATTTTTCATTAAACAACAACTAGTAGTTACACTGGAAATGGTTTGTTACTTGCTCCTTGATTATTCTTAATTATTTGGCACACCTTTACTGCTCAAAGGAGAGGTTATTTCCTTGCTGAGAAGATGAAATTGTCAATAAAACAGCTAGACGATGAGATATGAATTCCAACAGAAAACGCATCCATCCTGAGGAACTCTCACTAACAAATTCTCACAATCTTCCATACATATCCAGCTGTGATCATGGGGTTCCCATCAATAAATAAAAGGTCAGTGCAACAATAAGAAGCAAACAGAATGGAGAAGAAAAGGTTTGATAGGCAGCTGATGGCATAAAAATGTCTTCATACTTGTAAATACTGACAACACGCTCTGATACAGGCGGTGAGTCTATATCATGCCGAGTTATAGAACCTTTAATAGACAAAGGATAGAAAAAGAGATGAGCATAGCATGTGAATTAAACCACTTCTGATTCTCTTTCTTTTCCGCTAGATAACCTCACCTCCTCTTATTGCTAGTTACTATACCAAAAGAAGGATTTTCTTAAGTTTAAAATGGTGTTTCTAGCCAAATAGGAAATCTTCACAAAAACACATTACATCAACAGTTAACATAGTGCCAGAAGGTAAAACTCTGAATAAATCATACAAAACCTGAACAACAAACTATGAACAATATCCTTCAGAAGAATCACGAACTGGTCTTTTTGAAGCATCTACAATCAATTTTAGCTTTTGGGAGTAGAGATAATAAAAAAAAGTAGGTAAGGAATTTTTATATGACTTAACTTGACACTGCCCCCTTAATTTACATATATACACACACTGCTATTGTAAACAGAAATCTGAACATCTTTTGCAAACTATTTTAATTCCTTTTACAATGATGGAATAGATTGAAGAACGCAGTTGTGGCCACATACCATCAACTTACCCTGAATTGCTGGACCCCAAGCAAACAAATAGTACCAGCTCAAGTGAAGATCTACAATAGTTTCATCTCTGGGAACATACACAGGACGTTTAAATCGACAAGTCACACGGTTGTTTTCAAAAATCCCTTCTTCATCTCTAGCTGGATTTCGCTGGATCTCTTTAGCCCACTGACCAACATTATAAAAGTGCTGTATTCGGACCCTTCCATTATCATCATGAACACAAGCCATGACATCATCTCCGCCCTAAACAGTAAGAAAGAAACGAGTCAGAGTTCTTTTACTTTTAGAAAGAAAACCAACAACATGCAATAATTTTTTTCATATCCATAAAAGTATTCGCATTACTTAATTTTCACTATGAAAGCTGACCATAATAAAGGCTCTAGTTCCCTCTTTCATTGTACAAATCCCTGGATATTTTCTCCTGCAGCTTGTGCAGCAAAAAGTCAATGGTAATATTTACTTTTTCTATCTGTTTATGGGTATGCAAGCCACTTTTTGATTTTCCCTGTGGAAGCAGAGAAAGAACTGTCATGCATTGCATCCCCTTCCTGTCAGGTCTTTCTCTGCTTCCACATCCCCAAGACGTATACTAAATCCTAGTAGGATGGCAACTCCCTGACATAATTTAAGTAACAAGAAAGAAAAAGTAACATGTTTTTATTGTTCATAATAGGCAAACTTCCCAGATATTGTACCACAACAAAAACAGAGGAAGAACAGAACTTTTGGGGTGTAAAGTTCATTACATTAAATGTTATATAATCTAATCAACAGCAGGAAACAAATCTAAAATATTTGAAGGGATAATTGCATAACTGCAAAGAATCCACTTTAATTCAATAGTGTTTTTTGTAATTCCTTCCCTTATTATGTATCACCTAAGTGCAAAGTAGGAATTAAGTTAAATGGCAAATTTGCTTCTGCACATATTGTAGGCAGTGACAAAGAAACACAATCTAAGAAACAAACAAGTGGATGAAAAAAAAAGTGTTATGACAATTACCTGTGCAGGCTATTCACAGAAGGACTGTAATCCTAAAACAATTATACAAAAACACTGTTGACGCAGAAAAGACACTTAACCTTTCAGGGCACAATATTACTTCCAAAAGGATAGCCCTCCCAGAAGCATTAGTATCAGGAATAAATCTTAAAGTTTTGTAGGTTGTTGGCAAGTAAAGATTGGGTTACTGCCAGTGTTGTAGATGTTAGTACTGGCTAACAATATACCCCACAGCCATAGTACTGTCATCAATGTGTCACAATGAAGGAGGCAATAATGTCTGCTGACTTTATCCTTAAGTAAGTCTGTTCTTTTATGCATGTTGCAAAAGATTCATAACTGTCTGCTCACCTAATCCTGGTAGCACAAACTGCTTTTGGGGAACAAAATGGATATGGACAAAGTAAGGGGTGGCACATTAATTTAGCTGCCATTGCTGTGTAGATTCTTATACAACTGCTGAAAAATGGAAGAACTAGGTAAGACATGAACTTGAAAAGTTCCAGGTGCTCAGTATTATTGTGGGAGAGGTGGTGACTGCTACAGGTGAGGTTATATAAGTGCTTCCATTCTACCCTCCTGTTTTCTGTCACAGTTTTCAAAAACTTTTTTTTATAAGTTTGAGCAAAAATTCTTCACCTCTAAGGACGAGGGTTTTTTTTAAAAAATAGCACCTTCCACATTAAAAAACCAAACACAAAACCAAGTTAAAATGTTGTTTTGAACTATTCTGTAGTCAAAATTGCAGTGTAGCTCCCTAACACATCAACTCAATCAATTTAAAAAAAACATGGATTTTTAATTATTTTCCTTGCCTAGTTGTTCTTGCCATATCATCCTCATCTGGAATCTTTCTACTGGTTCTCCTTTACATGCCACACTGAATTTAAACTTCCTAGATCTTTTTTGGTAAGGTTCTGCAGAACTCCACCCTGCCCCACATCTTGGGGTTTTTTTCCTATCAGGTTCCCCCACCCCATAACTCCGCCAGTGATGCCAAACATGATGCCCTATTCAGTTCCTTCTTCTCCACCCATCTCTGTGCATTTTTTCTACAGTGCCCCCTTTGTATGGAATGACCTCTCAACCTCGGTTCACCATGAACAACCACTTTCTCCTCATTGAAATCTGTCCTAAATACTGACTTCTTGCATTATGCCCACAAAAAGTTAATTCATAATAGTTATAGGTGAAACAAACAAACAAAGCCCTACTAATTACCCCTACCTCTGGAGTTCTCGGTGGGTCCAACTTCTATGTCTTTTAGACTGTAAATGCTTCAAGACATGGATTGTCCTTATTTCTGAGCATACTACAGCGACAAGCACATTGTTGGCACTGAATAAATAAGGGCCAGACTCTGACACCTTTGCTCACAAAGGGTGGCAACACATTCCACAAGTGGTCCCATCCACTTCAACTGGACAAATAGTGGAGTAATGTACTATTCAGCATGAGCAAGTGTAGCAGAATATGGTTCTGAGTCAACAAATAAAAATAATAAAATCTGAACCTAAGTTAATAGAAAAGGAGTACAAAATCTTAACAAGAGAGAGCACAAAAATGGAATGAGCATTATGCTATTCAAGACAAAGAAAGAATACTAAAAGCTGCACAGGGCAATGAAGAAATAATCCATCAAAGAATCAAGATTATTTTCTTTCCTGAACTGTGTCTGGCTGCTCAGGCCAGAAACCGGGACTTGATTCCACTAAGGCAGAATTTTGTTGATGAGGAATGAGTGCTGCAGCCCTGTTGCCACAAAGCCATAAATTATTTATTTATTTATTTATATTTTATTTATTTAAATTTAAAGCTCAAAGTCATTTACAACAAACCCTACATATTCTAGGACACTCGTTTGGCCAGGAAATTACTGGGAAAAATAGATGAAATTAACAGATACAATAAGCAATAAAGACTGAAATGACAAATGGCATTGTAGCCTGATTAAGTGATGTACAGCATCTCATACATAGCAGGTTTGAAAACCAAAGCATTCACTTTAAAATTACGATTGTGCGGGGGTGCCATCTACTGGATATATGATAAGGCTGCATGTTACCACTGTTAACCTGATATAGACATGGGGCAGATTTTTAAAGGTGCAGACAGGTGCCTGGGAGTGCCTATGTACTTTTGAAAATCTCACTAAGTGCCTATCTGGATCTTGAGGCTCTTAAATACCTTTAAAAATGTGCCCCTACAACTATTTCTTAAGACTCCATGATGCATACTGGAGGCAGACTGATTAGTATCTTTTATTTCCAACATAATACCATATACATGGGTAGGATGGTAATGCATCTCCCCTCACATTTTCTTTGTGCTCCTCATTTTGGGCCTGATCCAAAGTCAGTGGCTGATATCAGTGGGAGTCTTTCTATTGCTTCAGTGGACTCTGATTAAGGACCATTAAACACTCTCTCATTTTCCATTGTATAGAGTCCACATGCAACTTAATAATTACACTTGCCCTCTGACTTGGGATGTATTACATAAACACTATTTTCAGTTGCAGATGGGGGGTATGTTTCAATATGCAATCAATTATAGATAGCATTATAAACTGTGTTCTAAGCTTAAATATGTTAATGAGAATTGCTATTTGTATAACAGAATAATATTCCTCAATTCTTGCTTTCCTCATAAAACCCCAATAAAAACAATGCTCTGAAATATAAAAATCACAGGAACAAGTATAAATATGAGGCAACCCTGTTTAAAAACTTTTTTAAAAAGCAAAAGAACAAATTGAAATAGGCTTGCTTTATATAGCATATATATTTATATTAGCAATAATAATTTTCTCTCTAAATTCACCTGGCTTTTCTGAAAATGTGGGGTGTTGGTGGAGGAAAGAGGCAGTGGGCATCCCCTTGAGAGTTTAATGGTTAAGTCCAGATTTATACAGTGGGAAAATAATTGACTTATTCAAGAAAACGTTACCCTTCGCTAATTTCTGATGTATACTTTGTTCCATTAAACACTGATACAGAACACTTAGAAGACAAACTTGTTAGTCTTGAATGGTTTTTTAGAATTAAATGGTGCAAAGTCATTAACAGTCTTGCATTCAACAGCAAAAGCCAAAGATCACTGTAGTCTTTCATTCTGAAGGGAGGTGGGACAGTCCAGTGGCTAGGGAACTTGACCAGGCATCAGCAGGCCTGATCTGCTGGCCTGATTTGCTGTCTGGTTTTCATTTCATCTCTTTACAGCTCTGCTTCCCAATCTGTAAAACTGGGGTAAATAATACTCACCCCTCCTTTGTAAAGTGCCTTGCGAACTAGAGATGAAAAGCACTATGCAAGCATTAAATATTATTTCTCATTAAAAAGTGTATCTTTCTTTATATCTGCCACATATTTTTCAAATCCAATATAAACTGTGCCTATTCTAATACATAAAAGCTTGTATACTTGTTAACATGAAACATTAAATGTTGTTGGCCTTACCATTTTCTTGTCTGAAGAAAATCCTACTGCCACCCAGCCATCAGTGTCAGCACTCAACTCGAACTCTACATCAGCTCCTATTCTACGATAACTGAGAAAATAGTCACAAGTCTCAGCATTACATCCAGGTTTACCATACCTGAATGAAACAGGAAAACAGAACATGTACCTTTTTCAGACTATGAACAGCTTTTTTTGTTATAGCTTACCTGTGTTTCTACATCAAAAACTTAAAGACAGCATGATTTGTGGTTAATAGTGGTGGTCACATAAATAAAATTTTCAGATATTGGTAGAACATATCATTTCTATACTATATTGTATTTTATATATAATACTATAAATTACAGTGTTAACGATAATTATCCCTTTATGGTAAGACAGGGTAATGATAGCTCATTACGGTGAGCACTTATTCAGAGATGCGATCCATTGATCTCTTTGGGACTATTTACGTAAGTGCTCATCAAGTTTTGAACAACATAATCCCTGATCCTGGTGAATAGCTGCAGACAACAAACATTTAGTAAAATGAATGTGGGACATTTACTAGTGCCCCTAGTGAAGTCAGGTAATGTTTATAAACTGAAAGATGTCTACGTTTTTATTCTACACCAACCTAAAGCATCCCTTGGTTTTTCCACAATCATCCACTCTAATTTTTGCAAATGGATCCACAGGAGGAGCAGTAGGGAAAGGGTAACCTGTATAATCAGAATAAACCACCATTAAATAATGAATGCGGAGAAATACATCCAAATATTGCCATTGTTATTATTTATCTATATTAGAATAGTATCTAAGAGGCCCCAACCAAGATTAGGCCTTCATTGTGCTAGGCACTGTACATAAACTTAGTAAGAGAGAGAGAGAGAGAGAGAGAGTCCCCGCCCTGAAGAGCTCACAATCTAACTAGACAAAACATGCAAAGAGTAGATAAGAGGAAGTATTATTGGGCTGGATTATCTTGTTTGCTAAATGCATTTTGAGGGATGGGGGTGTAGTGGAGCCAGAGGCCACTACACTTTATTCTCTGCTGGCAGAAGATCTGTCCACAAGTCAGTTAGGAATCAGGGATCTGCAATCTGCTCCTTCCTAGTCCCTCCTCCACTGCACTTGAGCTTTGTATCCAGCGGAGAACTGAGTCCATTACTTCCATTTTAAAGATGGGGCACTGAGGCTGTGACACATGGCCAGAAAGGGTAAGCAGTTCGCAGGCTAAATGACCCAGATTCAACCTTTAGAGCAGGGGTGGCCAACCTGTGGCTCCGGAGCCAGATGCGGCTCTTCAGAAGTTAATATGCAGCTCCTTGTATAGGCACCAACTCCTGGGCTGGAGTTACAGGCGCCAACTTTCCAATGTGCCGGCGGGTGCTCACTGCTCAACCCCTCACTCTGCCACAGGCCCTGCCCCCACTCCACCCTTTCCCGCCCCCTCCCCTGAGCCTGCCATACTCTCCTCCTCCCCCTCCCCCCTGGAGCCTCCTGCACACCATGAAACAGCTGATCCGGAGGTGCAGGGAGGGACGGGGAGGCTCTGATTGGCGGGGCTGCCGGTGGGTGGGAGGCGCTGGGAGCAGGGTGGGGAAGCTGATGGGGGCCTGCTGACTGTGGTTCTCTGGCAATATACATTGGTAAATTCTGGCTCCTTTTCAGGCTCAGGTTGGCCACCACGCTTTAGAGACATGTTAGAAAAATACGTAAATGGTAATTCGGGCCATTCCACGTTAGATAGGCAAGAACTTTGAAATGTAAACCAGTATTGTTAGAGAATTAGAAGTATTAATAATTGTATGTGTTTACTTATATCTTGTTAGATGTTAACCATGTAAACAGACAGTTCCTATTACTATAGCTACTGATTCAGAGATCAAAAGGGACTATTAACATTTAGATCAGGGGTCTCAAACTCAATTTATCTTAGGGCCAGTGCCAGTCCTCAAATCCTCCAAGCAGGCCCCCGCAAACTCCGCCCCCCAAACTCCGCCCCACACCTGCCTAAGACTCTGGGAAGGAGTCTGGATGGGGGAGGAGGTCTGGGGTAGAGGACTGGGGTGCAGGCTTTAAGAGGGAGTTTGAGTGCAGAAGGGGTGAGAGGTTGGGCTCTGGAGTGCAGGCTCTGGGAGGGAGTTTGGGAGCTCGGGGTGTGTGGGGACGGGGCACAGGCTTTGGGAGGGAGTATGAGGGCTTGAGGGGGGTGTAAGGGAAGGGGGTGCAGGCTCTGGGAGGGAGTTTGGAGGCTGGGAGTTGGGAGTGGAGGGGGTGCAAGCTCTGTGAGAGGGTGGGGGGGATGCGGTGCTTACCTGGGGCTCCAAGGCGGGGCGGGCTGGGGGTCCTCTGCGTGCTGCTGCCCCCAGGCACCACCCCCGCAGCTTCCCATTGGCCACAGGGGGCAGCACACAGAGGCCCCGCCCCGCCACGGGGCTGTAGGGAAGAGCCGGCAGACACATGGAGCAAGCAGGCAGAAGCCGCTCAGCTCCGCTGCGCTGCCGGTGATGGCCCTGGGCCACTGTAAATAGCCCAGGAGACACGTGGGGGCAAGCACCTGGGGGCAGCAGGTGGGGCCAAGAGAGAGACCCGGCCCCAAAATTGCTGGAGCCCCATGGGCCACATTGGAGAAGTTCTCGGGCTGCAGATGGCCCACGGGCCGGAAGTTTGAGACCCCTGATTTAGATGAAATGTGAGTGTGATCATGTCATTGTCTATGTGTCTCTTTAAAGTCTGTGATGAACTGCTTAATGGATAAATTACCTTATGTTAATCCATGTAGTTAGTCACCAGTAATGTTTGGGAAACAGAAGGTTACATCAAAAGCCTATTGTTCATCCAAGAACTCTGTGTTACCCAGGAACTGTATAAAGTATTCTTGGGATCTGATCCTTTCATCTCAGATCTGCTTGAGCTTTATTTTGGGGGAAGTTTGAGTCATAAGACTGAGATTTCCAGTCACATCTAAATCACCTGGGGTATGAAACACTGGACTGAAATTATGGACTAATTCTAAGAACTCTTTGCAACTAGAAAGCTCACCATCTCTACTATGAAACTGATCTCAGAACTGTACTCATAAGAACTGGCTGTAAGCGTATATTTGGATAAGATCTGGAATATTCATTAATTTAGGAGGTAATGTGTCCAATCCTTCGGGATTGGTAGAACTTTCATATTTGACTTGGCTGTCTGGGGGGGAACCCAAAGGCTGGGTTGCTATGTTTTGGCTTCCGTGTAACCAGTAAGGTTATTCTAGAAGCTGAAGAATCTAAATATTGGAATATCCACCAGCTTTGGGGATTGTCTGCCCCATTCTTTGCAGTCTGCCCTGATTTAAGCAATCTCAGTGTGCCCCCCGCCACAGGGACCCTAGTCACAGAGGACCGGATTTTCAAAAGTATCTGAAGACACCTAACTCCTATGAGCTTTCAATGGGCATTAATCACCTAACTCTCTTAGGCACTTTTAAAAATCCCACTAAGATAGAATAAGTGATTTCCTGTGTGACCTTAGGCAGTCTGTGGCAGAACAACGCAGTGAGCCCAGGTTTCCTAAGTCTCTGTCCATATATGAATGTTAAAAGTATACCGCTGTTAAACCAATATAGTTTCAGTTCACCAACCCAGATATGTACAGGGCCTTTTTGATTAATTCTGCATTAAGAATTAAAATGAATTTTATATTAAAAGGTAAAAGACAGGTTAAAGATAAAATACACCACATAAATCTGAACACAAAACAACCAGATAATGAAAAAGTCAGGGCTCCAAAACCAATGTTCACTTGTCCACTTGGCACCAGTACACTTTGTGGAATGAGGCTGAGTGAACATTGTTTTTGAAACCTTACATTTTGAATTTCCTGATCTCTCTGGGTTCAGGTTTTCAACCTTTATGTTGTTATTTGAATTTGATATTCTTTTCTTCAACTGACCGAAAAAGAAAGAACTAGCTGTGGCACTAAGAAGTTTTGCAGCTGCGTTTTCACTTCCTCAGGAGTTTTAAGCTGCACCACTCAACAGAAACACAACTATCACTATAATACTATTGGAGCTGTGCACTACTGCACCACTCGATAGTGCTATTGGGATTTCTCAGAGAGGAAAGAAAGAACTACTCAAGTGCAACACTGTCTAAGCTAGCTATGGTCTGCAAACAGGTCAGCGAAAATCTTGTCACAAATGAATGGAGGGCTTCTGACTGATCTAATAATCAGTGAGAATACTTTCCATTGCTAAGAGATCAGTGTGACTAGTGCAGCTTTCATACCAAATCCAGGCCTAACGCCAGACTGAAAGAATGGGATGAGAGAAATGAGAAGTGTCTGCGGTTTCCAAATTGTCTTGCCACAATTTCTAACAATAATCTTTCCCCCAAAGGTAAAAGATTAGGAACAGGGCAATTACTGGTAAGATTGCTATGGTAAGATGATGGCTTCTTAAATAAAACCCTAACTGTTGATGTGAGGGATGCTGGCAATCAGCCCTCCTTCAAGGAGTCACTAGTCGAATCAACGGATAATGGATGTAATACCTCCCTACTTAATTTTACTAACCAAGAAAGTAAAGGCTCCAACTTGCAGGCTGTAGCTAGAAACTCTGTGGCTGAAACTGTCCAGAACTTTGCCAGAGAAGATGATATATTTATCCCCTCCAGAAATGGTTTTGCAACCACAAAAGCAGCCACTTTTTTTATCTAAATCATATCAATCTTGTCAGCACAGCAACTAGAAAACTTCTCATCGCGAGAAAGATCTGACTCTTGTATCTGAGTGGAGGCAACCAGGCATGATTAACCCATCAAACACCCGGAAAAGCTCTGTCAAATGGATTTCACAGATGAAGAAAGATTCACCATCATCATTAAAAACAATATTGCAATCAATGTGACTGCATGATTTCTGTCAAGAACATTAGTCTCTATCCTATATGCTTCATCTGTCATAGGTCATCTTTATGCTAAGGTAACCTGTGAAAAGAGAATGCTTGGCTGCCATAGCATAGATGATTGAGGACAGAAGATAGACTGCACCTCAGAACCATCAATAAAATGGGCTACAGACAGCAGATATTCTGATAAGAGAAATGTGAAACCTAACTGGGTCTTCCAATAGCTCCATGAGATCCAGTGCAACAGGTCTCCTGCCCACGGGGAGTACATGTGAGCCCTGATTTCAAACTGCAAGTGGTGGTAATAGAGACTTGGCACATTTAGCCTGAAAGGCTGTATATCCAAGAGGATAACACTTGAGCGTGCTCTAGGAGAGACAAGGTTGTATTCCCTGCAAAAGAGCAGAGCACAGCATTAGGCGTCCCTTGACCCCAGCACTGTCGCAGTGCCTGATTCCAAGTTCTTGCTGCAAAGCCTGGAGACACCAATAGTGGTTATTGTAAACTGAGACAGGAGGCAGAGCTCTCAGCACCCCAGCCAAAAGGAAGGGCAGCTGGAGGGATGCCCAAGCCAGAGAGAGGAGGGAGAGCTATGCTCATTTTGCCCATCCTCTTTCCCATGATGAAGAACATTTGATTGTCAATAGAAAATATGTGTGACACCCAAAACACAGCTTCGACCCACAGAAGGGCAGATTTATCTCTCCTTACCGAGAGCCTCAATCTACTGCGACCCTTGCACCAGGCCTCGCCGCCGACACTCCCCCTTCGGCACCCGCCCCCGACTGAGCCTGCAGTCGGAGCCACGGGCCCTGCAGAACTGGAGCCGCCGGGCGTGGAACTGGCTCCAAACGTGCCCCAGAAAGTGCCACCCCACAGCAGCAGCTCGGCTGCCCCCGCCCGGCCACAGCAGGGAACCAAAGCCGCCGAGTTACTAGCCAACGTGCTGAAACGACGCGGCGACACGGGGCCAGGCGGCTCCACCGCACAGACCGCCTCGCAGAGACAGCGGGGCGACGGGGGCGGAGACCCGGCCAGGAGCGGGGCCGAGAAGGGAGCAGCCCATCCCCCCCACCATGAATCCTCCACCGGCCTTGGTGCAGCTCCCACTCCCGATGCATCCAGCTCCCTCCATTCTCCCCCCAGTGTCCTAATGCATCTCCTCCCCCGCGCATCCAGAGCCATTCTCCCGCTCCCGTCGGTGCATGCTCCATTTTCCCCCCCCCGTGTCCCAATGCATCCAGCTCCAGTCTCCCCCTCATTCCTATGCACGCTTCATCTTCCCCCGTGCAGCCAGCTCCTTCTCTCCCTCCCCCGGATGCATGCTCTGCATATCCCCCCGCAGACTAGTGCATTTAGCTCCATTATTCCCCTCACTCCTGTATATGCTTCACCCTCCCCCGTACATCCAGCTCCATTCTCCCGCTCCCCTTGGTGCATGTTCCCCCCTCCCACGTGTCTCAGGGCATCCAGCTCCATTCCTCCCTCCCACCCCGTGCATTTCAGCTCCACTCTCCCCCCTCACTCCTGCATGTTTCATCCACCCCCGTGCCCCCAGCTCCTTCTCTCCCTCCCCTCGGGTGCATGCTCCATCCCCACGCCCGTGTCCCAGTGCATTTAGCTCCATTATTCCCCTCACTCCTGTATATGCTTCACCCTCCCCCGTACATCCAGCTCCATTCTCCCGCTCCCCTTGGTGCATGCTTCCCCCCCGCCCCCGCCTAGTGCATTTCAGCTCCACTCTCCCCTTCATTCCTGCATATTTCACACACACACCAGTTCATCGAGCTCCTCTCCTGCATGCTTCATCCCCCAGCTCACTATCCCCCTGGGCCTCGGAGCATCTCACCGGGCCGGGGGTTGCAGCTTCCTCCTCCTGCCCCAATAGGAGGCTCCCCACCCTGCCGCCCCCCCCCCCCCATCCCCCGCCTCCTCACCCTCCTCGGAGAGGTAGCGCAGGTCGTAGAACTCGCTGGCGAAGGTGCCGTACGAGGAGTCGTGGTGCTGCCGCTGCGGCTCGTCCCGGGCCCCGCGTTCCCCGTCCCCTCGGCCCCCTCCCCGCGCCCCGCCGCTCTCGTCTGCCGGGCTGGCGGTGGAGGCTGCGGGGCCGGCGAGCAGCAGCAGCCAAGCGCCCCAGCGCAGCGGAGACATGGCGGCCCCGCAGCCGGGAGAGGCGCAGAGCGAGGCGTGCAGCAGCGCCCTCCTCCGCCTCCTGCTGCGCGCGGCGTCCTGCGAGGGGAGGGGCAGCGGGCTCCTGGGGGCTGGACGCCCCCCAGCGGGAATAGGGGGCTCCCAGGCCTCCCTCCCCCAGTGACCCGTGCATAGAGCCCCCATGGCAGCGAGTGGTTGATGAGAAGGGAGGGGCCTAAAATCAAGCCCCAATGTAGGGGCCAATCCGGAAATCTGAGACGAGGGGAACAACCCCACCGGCTTGGGGCAGATGGGCTCTGCGTTCACACGTGAGAATGCAGACCGGAGGGAGGGCAAACGCGCTCTGCTCCGAAGTAATGAAAGGTTTGGAGTGAAGGGAACTGTTTAGGAATGAGACATTTCCCTCTAATCCGCTTCCCACTCCCAAATAAATCACTGCAGTTACTCAGTGATGCAGCACTGAAATGGGGGAAAGTGAGCTCCACGGAAAATGCTGAGGACCTTATGGCTTGGCTTGGCCACAGATGTCATCAGTTTGCCCTGGTGTGAGAGAGAATGGGGCAGAAATAATTTCCCAAGGCAAATAAACTGAAACAAGCGGATTCTTACTGAGGGAAAAACCCAGTAAACGAATCAGCAGAGGGTGCTGGTGTAAATGAACCCACTTTTGTAAGCTCCCCCCACATTAATAAATAACGCATCACAGACGTTCTAATGACTTCGCTTCTATGCTACAAAAGTGTTGGGTATACTTCCAGGCAATGATATAGCCCCTTGGTGGTATTCACCAACTGATCCACTGTGGGACTTAAGTACCTTCTTAAAGTTAAGCGTGTGGTTTAGAGTTTCCTGAATTGTGATTCCTATATACTAATGTTAATGGCAGGGCATGTGCCTTTTGCCTCCTTTATATGCTTTTCTAGGGTCTTCATTAAATTTTAAAATTTTAATATTGACATGCTTATTTACATTATTTGATGCTAAAAATAGTTTAAAAAGAAACTATTTAAGTAAACCAGGTCCTAGATACTATAGAGGCACATATCAGTACATAGACTGATTTAAAAGTAAAAACCTTTATTTAAATTTTTTGTCTATTGTCAAGGCTGCTTCCCCACTCTGAACTTTAGGGTACAGATGTGGGGACCTGCATGAAAACTTCTAAGCTTAACTACCAGCTTAGATCTGGTCCGCTGCCACCACTCTCGATGCTAAGTCCCTTCCCTGGGTAGCCTTGAGAGACTCTTCACCACTTCCCTGGTGAATACAGATCCAAACCCCTTGGATCTTAAAACAAGGAGAAATTAACCATCCCCCCTCCTCCCTTCCACCAACTCCTGGTGGATCAAGATCCAACCCTCTTGGATCTAAAAACAAGGAAAATCAATCAGGTTCATAAAAAGAAGGCTTTTAATTAAAGAAAAAGGTAAAAATCATCTCTGTAAAATCAGGATGGAAAATAACTTTACAGGGTAATCAAACTTAAAGAGCCCAGAGGACCCCCCCCCCCAGCCTTAGGTTCAAAGTTACAGCAAACAGAGGTAAACACCCTAGTAAAAGGTACATTTACAAGTTGAGAAAACAAAGATAAACTAACATGCCTTGCCTGGCTGTTTACTTACAAGTTTGAAATATGAGAGACTTGTTCAGAAAGATTTGGAGAACCTGGATTGATGTCTGGTCCCTCTCAGTCCCAAGAGCGAACAACCCCCAAAACAAAGAGCACAAACAAAAGCCTTCACTCCCCCCTGCCCAAGATTTGAAAGTATCTTGTCCCCTTATTGGTCCTTTGGGTCAGGTGTCAGCCAGGTTACCTGAGCTTCTTAACCCTTTACAGGTAAAAGGATTTTGGAGTCTCTGGCCAGGAGGGATTTTATAGTACTGTACACAGGACAGCTGTTACCCTTCCCTTTATAGTTATGACATCTATTAATATTGATTTTTAAAAAGCTCTTCTGTGGGCCACTCTTGCTCCCAGTTATTTATCCTCTGCTATAGTTGCCACATAATCTATGCTCCTTAACTATGGAGTTCAGAATAAACGTTTGAGTATCCGGTAGAGGACAGTGGTGCACAGAAGCAGAAGTCAGTACATGGCAATATGTTAGCTGAGTGGAGAAGCTAGAAATTTTAGAAAAAAAGTAAAGAAAAAAGTGCAAAAGTATTTTAGGCTTGATGCAAAGGCACCACACTCCCAGGTAACCTACAGAAAGCTATAGGGGAGCAACATCAGGCTAAAACATCAAATATTGAGTGAGCCACTTGTTGCTACCAAACTTAGTATTGCTAGATAGAAACTAGTAGATCAGGATAACAGGAAGGTAACTAATGCTACATCTTATTCTTTTTTGACAAAAAATTAAGTCTGATGAAGATTTCCCCCTTAAATATAGCTCATCAACTGCTGTTGAAGAAGCATTTACTCAGCAATGGAACAGCTGTCAGCTGCATAATCTATTTCCATGCATACAAAAAGGCCTTATGGCACTTTGATAGGGAGGATGCTGCACAGTAAATACTGGATTATGCTGTTACAGTTATAAACATTTTAGGATCTTTATTATTTATTACAGGTATTTATATGGAATCCATCACGATGATACCTGATACCTAGAGTCAATACACTGTCCTTGACTTCAGTGGAGTTATGCTGATTTACGCCAACTGAGGATCTGGTCCAGAGTTCCTCCCTCCTGTGCAGACATTAAACATGCCCTGCCATTAGGGTGACCATATGGCAAATGTGAAAAATCGGGATGGGGGTGGGGGGTAATAGGAGCCTATATAAGAAAAAGACCCAAAAATCGGGAATGTCCCTATAATATCGGGACATCTGGTCACCCTAGCTGCCATGTTTCCTAGGAGTAAAGGTTTTCTCTGATATTCTTTGCTGAATAGTTTCGTATACTGCTTGGTTGCCAATGCCACAAAAAGGGCTGCATATGAGATACAATGTGATTGAGTGGTCCGAGCATGTGGAATTAGGAGTCTTGGGTTCTAATATCAGGTTAGACAGTGACTCATTATGATGGTGTATGATCGAATATGACCATTTATATCATTGATATTATCACTGTTATACAATTGCATCAAATCTTGTACAAGGTATGTCATGTAAGGTGTCAATGGAAGAGTTATGATTTGCTAAGTCTGATTATCCTGTTTATCTGCATGTATCCTCTTTGTATCTGAAGTTATGAATATTGGCTATGTACTAGTATCTTACACATGTGTTGTATTCCTGGATAGCAGGTTGGGGCATTCACCAAGTCGGGAGGGAAAATGAAAATAGGTAGATGGACATGTGCCCTCTGTGGCATGAGTTTCAAAAACAGTCAATGGCAAAGTTTGTAGATGATATAAAATTACTCAAGATAGGTAAATCCAAAGCAGACTGCAAAGAGTTACAAAGGGATCTTACAAGACTGGGTGACTGGGCAACAAAATGGCAGATGATATTCAATGTTGAGAAGTGCATGTTGGAAAACATTATCTCAACTATACATATAAAATGATGGGGTCTACATCAGTTATTACCACTCAAGAAAGAGATCCAGGAGTCATCATGGATAGTTTTCTGAAAATATCTGCTTAATGTGTAGCAGCAGTCAAAAAGCTAACAAAGTGGTAGGAACCATTAGGAAAGGGATAGACAATAAAACAGTAAATATCACAATGCTACCGTATAAATCTATGGTAGGCCCACACATTGAAAAAAAAATGCATGCAGTTTGGGTCTACCCATCTCAAAAAAGTTATACTAGAACTGGAAAAGGTACAGAGAAGAGCAACTAAAATGATTAGGAGTATGGAACAGCTTCCATAGGAGGTGTCATAACTATAAAGGGAAGGGTAATAGCTGTCCT